TCCGGGGGGGGCAGGAGCGCGGGTCTCGCCTGTGGCCGTGGGTTCCCCCCCCCCCGGGTGGTGGTGGTGGCCAAGACCACCAGGTACGAGTTCGAGCAGCAGCGCTACCGCTACGCGGGGCTCTCGGAGGAGGATCTCAAACAGCTGGTGAGTGCAGCACAGCTCATCAACCCCAGCCAGGCTCGTTCCCTGGCCCCTCCGGTTCCCCCTTGGGTAGTCCCAGTTTCACCCGTTCAGGGAAGCAGGCCAAATCAGCCTCTGTCGGGGAACAGGCAGCTCTGTCTGTAGGCATCTAGAGCCAAGAAACTCTGAAATCCTTAAAACTACATGTGCTTTTCAGTATGGCCTTGGCTTCAGCCTCAGGGAGGTGCACTTTTTTTACTGTTCAGCTTGAGAGAAACAAGGTGGAATAGGTAATAGCTTTTATTGGACCAAATTATGTTCATGAAAGAGACAAGCTTTCTCTCTCTGTGAAGTTCAAAAGCTTGCCAGTCTCACCAACAGTACTTGTTCCAATACCAGTTGCTACCTCATTCATATCTTTCTCATTTCCTGGGGCCAGGAGGGCTACAAAATAGTGCAAACAACCATGCAGTTTCAAACACTGCTTTCAGACATTAGCACAGCGCTGCATACATTGGCTTTCATAGGCAGTAGGAGAACAGTTCAGATTTCTAGTGGTACTAACTGGTTTAATGAAAACAAATAATGTAAGTCTCAGCAAATTCAAAACTTTGACAGTGATCTGATTGTAGGACATTACATACAAATGAACTATCATTGTGTAATATCAGCTGGAAACATCCTTTATAGATTAATCACCAAAGTAACCAAAAGGATATGTTAAAATAGAAACTGATTTGCTGGCAGCAGCCTCACAGCCTTTCTTTGTTTATTTGTTCTTTTGAGTTTGAGATTATTGCAGCTAGTTCCATCATCTAAGCTAGGGATGTTAAATTTAGATTAATTGGCTAATCGAATAGTCAATGCAATTTGCATCGGCTATTCGATTACTCAGTAAGGGCGCCTCCGGCTTTGAAGTGTAACAGCCGCCCCAGGAGTGTTGCTATACTTGAAAGGCTAAAGATCTGTGGGGAGCGTGGGGTCAGCAGGGGACGCGAGCATTCCCCTGCTGGCCCTGTGCTCCTTGCACTTTTTCAAAGCTTCAGAGTCTTCCATGTGGAGCTGCTGCTTTGAAATACCACGGGGAGTCTGGCATCAGGATCCCCGTGGCATTTCAAAATGGCAGCATTGCACGGAGCCCAGAGACAGCAGAGAACTCCCCATCTGACCCCAGGCTGCATGTGGCATTTCAAAGCGGCAGTGCTATGTGGAGCCCAGGGTCTACTGCTTTGAAAAGCCGTGTGTAGCCCGGGAGCCTCCTGGGGTCTGGCCCCAGGCTCCATGCAGTGCTGTTGCTTTGAAGCGCCTCTTCCCCTATCCTGCTACCTCTTTCTGATAAAGGCAGCAAAGGAGGGAGGCGACTAGTCAACTAGTGTGTCAACTATCCAATAAGCATTATTGGATAATAGTTCACATCCCTAATACAAGTAGTAGTACCTAACCCCTAGTATTCTAGGTTTTGGCTTGCCTAGTTCATTTGTAAGAATGTGCATTGCACCAAGAATCTGCTTCTGTTTATTGTATGTTTGAATCCACTGTCAAACTTGGGCTCTCCTAACTTTCTGAGAGTAAGTCTAGACTACATGCCTCTGTTGCCAGAGGCATGTAGATTAGGCTACCAGACATAGGAAAATGAAGCGGCGATTTAAATAATCGCCGCTTCATTTAAATTTACATGGCTGCCGCGCTGAGCCGACAAACGGCTCAGCGCGATAGTCTGGACACGCGGGTGGCAACATCAAAGGTATTTGTTGACCACCCAGGTAAACCTCATCCCAGGAGGCTTACCTGGGTGGTTGACAGATACCTTTGATGTCGACACCTGCGCGTCCAGACTATCGCGCTGAGCCGACAAACAGCTGCTTCATTTTACTGTGTCTGGTAGCCTAATCTACATGCCTCTGGCGACAGAGGCATGTAGTCTAGACGTACCCTAAGTGACACCGTAGGCAGGAGTATAGACATAAAATGGTAGACATTTGAAATTTTCAGATATAGCTTTGGTCTTAGCCTGTTAGTTTGTCAAAAAAATGCAGAATAAATCATAAGGGCAACAACAGATTTAACACTCATACAGCTTTGATGTCTTCCATGTTTATAGAGTGCCATTAGAAGAACACAAATCTGTTGTTTTAAAACTTTTCTTTCTTGTGAATTTTGAAATTATATTTCCTATGGTGGCTGCAATTGCTGAGATTAATCTGTCCAGTAATACTGTGATATGGTAATTCAAAAGGCTCATGTAAGTCAGTTACATTCTGGATGAGAAGTTCCAAGAACTACTATAAGACGAAGAGAATTGTCCTAATATTTGCTTTGTGTATGTGGTAAAAGCTATATATGTATGATTCCCTTCATGCAGAGAAAGGGATACCATTGTTTCCTTAGCTCTGGGTTTCTAGCCTTATTTGTAGGCTTATGGGGGCTATTTTTGACTTCTCCCTTTCCTGTCACTGTCACAGCTATATCCCAAATGTGTTATTTCTTTCCCCACCACAGCTATATATTCAGATCCTTATATCCCACCTCAGCCACTATAAAATCCTCCCCTTGGGCCTTCCAGAAGCCTACGTCTAAGTACACATAAAATGCTGTTGTGAAAATAACTTCTTGTTTATTCTCACTTTCTTTGGATCCACCATATTTATTGACATTTCTGTTTACCTGCTCAAATTTAAGAGTCTGGAACCTGCAGAGTAGTGAAAGCCAGAAATTTTTCATGAGTTTGTGTACCACTGTGATTGGCAGGGCTCGCTGAATGGTGGTGAGCCCCACTTGCCAGCCACGCGGTTCTGTGCTCCGCGCATGCGCATATCGCTCCGCGCCAGCTCTTCCGGGGTGTAATCTACTTGCCATTGTCGAGCCCTGGTGATTGGGGTATTTGTTTAGACACATAGACACCAGTAGGGATGTCAAGCGTAGTCGACTACATGATTAAGCTATAAACCTAGGATTAAGCAGTTAATTTTATCAACTACACACACTCCCCACCCCTTTGGCTGTCTCCGTATCAGAAGAAGCAATGGTGGTTGGGGGAGGGGGAAGTGGAATGTGATACCTATGGCTTTTAGGCTGGCTTCCCACCTGCACTGGATCTGCAGAGCTGCCTGCTCCCTCCCCTGCACTGCTGCCTCTAAAATCAGAGGCAGCATCATAAGGCTGGGGGCAGGAGAAGCTGTCAGGTGCTGGGAGCTCAGACTCACCGTAGACATGGCACGGTAGACTCACCTGCCAACAAGGACTAGTACTGCCTCTGGCCAACCTGCACTGCTGCCTCTGATACAGAAGCAGCAATACAGAGTGACGGGGGGGTCCACAGGTGGGGGGCCGGGAGCACACTGGCAGCCAGCCCTGTCCCCTGGGGACTATCGAATAATTGTATAACCTCTAAGTTTTGTTGTGGTTACATGATTATTCTGTTAAGTGCTATCTAGACTGGGACCACTGTGGACAGAGGCTGCTCCGCAGCAGCCTCCTTGACACTGCCCCCCTGCGGGCAGAAGTGTGAAGAGGTGGGGGGTAGGCAGCTCTGCAGAGTCAGTGCTCCTGCCTGCCTCTCCTCACTGCCTCTGAGGGAGGCAGCAAGGGGGTGCCAGCGGCTACAATGGAGCTGGCATGTGCTGAGAGCCAGCTTGAAACCCGGCTTCCTGCATGTACCAGTTCCCACCTGTCCACCTCACACTCTGTGTGGTTGTGAGGGAGGCATGTGGCTCTATGGATCCGGTGCTTATGGGAGCAGGTTCCCGCTTGCTTCCCTTGCTGCTTCTGATACAGAGGCAGTAAGTTGGGCATGCGTCAGTAAGATTAATTATAAGCCTAGCTTTATCGGTTAATCATGTAGTCTACTACATGTTGACATTCCTAGCTCTATCTCTTCTTTGTGTCTAATTATTAGTATCGGTGTTTCCTAATATTCAAGGACAGAATTAGGGATGTAGAAGAGTAGTCAATTAGTCAACTACCCTATAAGCCTAGGCTTATCAGGTAGTTGAGTCGACTACTCTCATTTCCCTCCCCCTTCCTTGCTTCCTCTATAACAGAGGCATTGGGAGCGGGGGAGCAGAAGCTGGTGTGGGGTGGAGATGACTTAAAAGCCGATTCAGCCAGCACCATCTCTGCCATGCCCCTTGCCACACCCCTTGCGCTGCTACCTCTCAGAGGCAGCAGTGCGGGTGGGCCAGGGGAGGCTCCTCTGGCAGCAGTCCCTGTCCACAGGAGGTCACACTGGGGCTACTCCCTAGTAGCAGCCTCTGTTTGCGGCAGCCCAGGATGGCTGTGAACAGAAGCTGCTCTGTCAGCAGTACCTGTCCATGGGGAGTCCCAGCTCCCCGCTGGGCCCCCCTACAGACAGGGTCTGCTGGACAGGGCATGAGCCAGGACTGAGTAAACCCTGGTCTCTGCCAGCTCCAGGAGACTCTCCCTCCCCTGTAGCTCTGCAGTTTAAATGTAGAAGGAGCTAGGCTGCCTGTGTGCCTGGCTCTTACTACATTTAAACTGAAGAACCATAGCGGGAGTATGCGCTTTTCCTTATCAACTAATCGTGTAGTTGATACAAAGTGTATCAACTAAACGATTACCCAGTTACTCACCTCTTAACATGCATGTATATATTCTGATAATCCGGCACCTTTAGGACCCACGGGGTGCCGGATTATCAGATATGCTGGACTATTAGAAGGGGGGGGGCTGTGAGAGGTCTGGGGT